CCGCAATCCAGTATGGGGCACAAGTACATCAGTGACAGTCGATACAAGAAATTAAAATAAAAGCCCGCAATCCAGTATGGGGCACAAGTACATCAATGACAGTCAACAGAAGAAATTAAAATAAAGCCCACAAGCCATCAGGGGGGCACAGGCACATCAATGGCACATAAAATACGACAACAAGAAATCAAAGTCTAATTGAAAGACAAGAAATGAATGATGAGCGAGTAGCAGCATAAATAATCCATTAGGCAAATGGTAACAATCAAAAGTAGCCTAATATCACATCCTGAAAGGAAAATCAGATATTAAAACTCGGATTGGAAAGGAACAGAAAATTAAGGAAATGAAGGAGGGCCACTAACCTCACTCCTCCACCAAGAAGGCGGGGGCGGGGGAGGGGGCAACCCCATTGAAGCGGAAGATCTCAGTCTGCAAAGAAAAACATACAGACGATGAAATAAACAATAACAGAAACAACAACAGCAAAGAGCGGGAGGCAAAAGACACGCACGAAAACCCAGCGCAGACAACGCGCGCAAAGATAAGGGCTATGAGGATTGTAAAGCTCCTCAAAAGTACATTTATGCCTCTTATACAAATAAGAGCCAGTCAAATGAAATTCCGGTTGAGAGAAGGGCGAACAAGGCCCACATACAAAAACGGCTTCATCCCCCTCAAAAGCGTGGTGATAATACATAAAAACGATCACAAACATGGTGGGGCAAGAGAAGATACAAAGGCAAAACGGGCGGCAAAACTCACTTAGGACGATAACGTCTTCTTCATCGTCACTGACCAAATCGATCATGTCGAAGTCTTGACCATATTCAACGTCGTGAAGGATGTCCTCAAAATCCTGGTTATCCAAAATTAGATCCACTAGAGCAGGGTCAAGAGCCGGGTACTCGACGCCCGGGGGCGGGACTTGCGGCACAACATACTCATTTTGGTCTGGAGGATTTCCATGTGGAGGAATCACCATCTAAATAAAAAAAAGGGAAAATCAAACAGTAAGCCAAAAGAAAATAAATAGACAGCGCAGAGGACCAACAACGGAAAGAGACTCACGTAGCATTTCCCCAGACAACAGCCACATTTATAGAACTCCACGAGAATGAACGCAGGGACATAAACGTCCAAGAAAACATAGGAGGGATTAAAAACGATCCAGAGAGGGTGCCCAGTTGTAGCTTGGATACACTTTCCACAGATCTAAAAAGACACGGAGCATTAGCACTCTAAGGCACCTTAACGGCCCAATGGAAATCTAAGCGAACGGGAGAATTTAAAGACTAATACTTACTTTCTGAACTTCTCGGTCGTTCAAATTATAACCGGTGTAGTGATTGATCAAGACTCGGGACGCCATTGTCGGAAAAAGCAGGACGAGAATTGCACAAAACTGTGGAGCGGATCAGTAGCTCAGACCGGTATAAAGCCAAGATGGCGATGACCGTTAGAGGGAGTTCGCGCCAACGGCCGGCGTCCCCACGGAAAGAGGGGAAAAGGAAGGAGTGGGGGTAACGCACTGCGCATGAGCGGCGCGCGCAGCCGCGTATGAGAATAAAAGAGGAACGCCGCCAGAGCACTCTGAGCAGGCAGAGAGAGAGAGAGGATGGCTAGCAGAACAGCACTAGCCGAGAAATAAAGTTCTAAACCAAGGAATTGGATAAAGAACCAGAATAATTAAACACGTCAAGACTCAAGACAACGCTGGAATCGAAGGAAATCACCAATCAACGCAGGCAGAGGAAGATCAACGCTGGATTAGATACGCGGAGCATCTTTATTTTAAAAGTTAAGTATTCTTAACCCTCAAGAGGTTAATAAGAAACGTGGTAGTGTTCAAAAATCAAAGGTGTCACGTAGATAGGTCTAGTCAGTCGTGTAGGAGACACCTAGGGCCAGTTAATTACAGCCCAAGGCAAAGG